GTGAATATCGGCAAATAAACACAGACACCTCGACTGCGTGTTCCTGTCACAATGTTGTAAAGCCAGTTTCATTGCGTCCTGAAATAAATATAAAACACAGGATGTACCATTTGAGGTCCGGATAGGTGGGGTGTAGCGTGACGGTGTCAGATTCGAGTGGAGGCGTTTTTGAACTTAATCTCCCTCCACATTGGGCTTCATCCTTGTATTCAATTGTTATCCATTGCTACGCTCGTTCACCCGTTCTTAATTAAAATAGTTTCCAAAATTAGTTTCGTTCCCTTTAGTTCTACTGCAAGTATTATTAAATATACAAAAATAATACGACGTGCCTGGATTCGTGTAGACTACAAAACCATATGTCCATGAGGACTGGGTAAACAAATGAATTATATTGGTCACTGTGCGCAGCTTGGAACATTGCCGTACCTCTCCGACACTCCCCGTGTTATTGCTGTCATGATTAACACATATGGAAAAAACAAAGGTGAGACCCAGATTTGCCTTTAAGGACACCTATCACTGGCGAGTTAAATGGGGCGCAGGTTGAAAATGTACAAACTAGTTCTAAATAGTTTGGTTCCCTCAAATTCATGACGAAGAGCATATAGATAAATCAGTATCCATTATCAAACGACTTTCTGCTGACTTCCCCGCAGTCCAATGCTCTACTCCATTTTGAATTGAGCCAAGGTTCACAGTTCAACTACTTCGATCACTCCACGCTTTCTCTCCGAATTTCATAGAAGCCAGTCACAGAGAATAATTAAAGTACCCGCGAACAATTTATCATAACTTTATGTTTCAAAAGTATTACATAATTATTGATTTACCCATATGTCTTCAGAATATTTTCGAAATATTGTTTTGGAAAATAATGTCTTGAAAATGTGAACAAAAATTTGTTGAAGATTTCCACCAGAATGTCATTTACTTATTAAAAATATTTAGTATTTATCAATTTTTTTTAATAATTTGCAAAATCCATAAATACCCCTACTATAAATATATCTAATAGTTCCCCATATGTAACCAAACGAAATGTTAAGATATTATGAAACCTGTTTAAGTAGTGGCTCACACTACCACCATTTTCATTTTCATATATATTTGTTTGGTGTTTGTGTGCAGCAGCATGAATTGAACAATATTGTAACGGTCAAGAAATTATCGAA